TTTTTTTTTTTTTTTTTTTTTTTTTTTTTTTTTTTTTTTTTTTTTTTTTTTTTCTTACCGTATACAAGGTGTTGCGTATATTTGTTGAACCGAATCGGTGAAAAAGTTTTGAAATCACGTGAAATCGATACAAAATTCACCGATTCGTTTCAACAATCGGTATATATATATTTACTGTTTAAATATTGTAGTCAGACTTGGGCGGAATTTTTAAAATTTAGTTAAAATTACAATAAAGTACTTAAACGTATTTAAAATTCTCTCAAATACCACCCATATTATTATATTTATGCCGAGTGGTGTTGATAAAGAATTTATTTTTTACAAGAACACAGTTACTACGTCATTGAATTACGCTGCGTGTGTATAATGGTCCGGTGTTTTTATTAAAATAATCGTCGTTGGTAAGGAGCTCAAGGTCAACCAACTACCGAGTGAAAGAGAATCGATAATGTATTGCCGTCGTTTGATTCGCTGAGAAATAACAGATTTGTCAAAAATTTTATCGTTCCGCACGCGTTTAAGTGTAAAAACAACTGGTAAACACACGGCTCATCTGTTTACACAAGTTCTCGGGAGATTCATTTATTTCACCTTTTTTCAGATTTTTAATTCTCACAAGTGTTTTATCGATACCACTGTGTATATGTATATATGTGTGTATTTCGATGTCAACAAACGCTTTTATACATGTATATACCATTGCACTTTGGCGCGTGTCACGTGATTGTCTCTCAGCTCGGCGATAAACGAGTCGATAAATAGCCGGAGAGTGGGAGCAAGGCAGTATAAGAATGGAGCGATGTGAGAAGGAAAAAGGTTTAAAGGAGTATTGTTTGACAAATGACCGGTATGCAATCGAAGCAACACAAGTTCTGTTGGACCGAAGTAACGTCACGTCTGCGTATACATATATATGTATATTTACCGAAATAATAAAAAAATCCTCTTCGTTCGGTATTTAAGTAACTCATCATTCCCCCGACACGGGTGCAACGATCGCCAAAGAATCCAAAAAAAATTCAAGTGCATTTCGGTGTCTCGCTGCCATCTTTGGAGGATGATTCATCCCCAATACACACACCCAAGACTTTTTCTCTCGCAGTCTATCCTTTTTTTCTTTTTTTTTTTTTTCCTTTCTTTCTTCGCGATCCTCACCAGCAGTGCTAAAAGTCCGCTAAGGTATCGATAATTCGGGGCCGTTATATCACGCATGTATGTACGCGCGGAGAGTGCAGTGGAACCGTAAAAAAGGTGCCAACAAAAAAATATGCCACCTAGCGTGTTTCCCGGCTCGATTAGCGCCTGCATAAATAATTTTCTCTCGAAACGGGCTTACGCGCCCCTAATTCCGGCGCTGATCGGTATACGTATCGGTAGGGTGTCGCCACCCAAAACGGAGCACCGTGGATCGATCGTCCATTCGTACAACAACGCTTGTAGCGCATTGAAAAAAAGAGCCTGTGTTATCCCGGCCGATCGATCGGCTGTAGGGGGATAACAAATTTTACTGGCGATGGTATCGGCACTCGCGACCGGTTGTGCTAGTCACGCTTCTTTTGCTTTTCCGCTCGAAAATGCAGTGGCGCGTTTTAAAGAAAAAAAAATATGGGGAAAAAGAGGTGCCTCCTCGTCCGCTATACCGCAAACACGTGTCGGCAATGAACGCATGAATATTAATACCTTCAACGCGTCTCTATTCGTGCGAGAAGCGAAGGAAGAGTTGACCCGAGTTTGTATAATTTTTTTTTTTTTTCCCTTTGAAAAATATCCACGAAAATGGGCGCACTCAATTTCGCTATACACCTATTCAACGTGCCTATACGCTATGTGTGTCATGGTTTTTTCTTTGTGTGCATTTGAGTTGACATTTTGCACTCGGTCTACTTTACCTTGTTGGCACAGGCAAGCGGTATACGACGTTTGTTTTGACGCCCGAGTGCGGTTTTAGTGATTTTTAAATCGGTATCATATTTTATTGTATCTTTTACGTAAATTTTGTATAGTACACGTAAGAAAAAGTTGAAACAATTTAATAGAGTAGAAAACAACTTTTTCATTTATCGTGAATAGTGTGCATTCTGTGCACGGCTATAAAAACTTGCTACTAGAATAATAATAATATTGAACTCGAAGCTCATTATGTCAATATTAAAATAATCTTTAAAAAAATTTTAAGCCGCACCAATGAAATCGTGAATAAGTTTCGAGTTGCGCCGTAAAAATTTCATGGACATCGGTATGTAGTCAGATCTTTGCAAAAGTTTCTGGATTGTGCAGGGCAATGACCTTTTTCTGTGTGCAAGTGGCGAGAAGAGAAGTCGGAAGTGGATCACTTGAGAATTATTTTCGGTGCATCGGCACTTGTGTAAAAATTAAATGTTCCTTGCACATGTTGGAAAAAAACAATAATAATTTCATCACGCTGACGCAGGCGATCCCACTCTCTTGTCCATTTTTTTTCACTTGATTGACCCTCTTGATGCTTTTTTTTTATTTTTTATCAAACTGAGAATACAACTGTTTTTTTATCCATATGTACGGATATGAATTATCATTTATTCTTCAATGATGATACAGTACAGAGTTACAATTAATACAAGTATAACCATAAAATTTTCAAATAAAGTACCTTCTTTTCATCCTCAGATTTTCTATTTAAAATCTTACACTTTTTGGAAAAAAAAAAAACAAAAAAAAACTCATCTTTAAAACTCGCCTTAGAAGTGATTTTTGGAAAAAGAAAAAAACAATATATATGTCCATCAATCACTACAAGTTGATGTATACCGCATAATATATGTACCGTTAAAAAAAAAAAAAACTTCTTTTGCAAAGCTCGATCGTTACGAGCGGCTCCCCGAATCGCACCATCATCCACCGCATCATCCCTCCCATCGACCATCGCGCATTGGAGCCTCGTCATCTCGTTAATGCTCCGCGTCAATCATCAATATTATATTCATATATTACACAAGTGGACGGGAGCACGTATTACATACATGCACGCGTCCCTATTGGTGTATGGCATAACGTGTGACGCATATAGCCGGTAGGGACTGGAAAAAAAAAAAAAAAAAAAAAAAAAAAAGAGTCGAGGCGTTGATGATAAAACGACGAGGTGCACCGCTCGCGCGCTCTCCCAGCAATGCGCGCCCCGCGTCCGACGCCCGTGTATATTATAAGTAGGTGTACCGCCTGTCCATATAGCACGTTTTGCTCGCCTCGCTCCGTTGGGTCCCCCCCCGCGTTCTCTTTCTCTCTCATAATTTAGTGAGCCTCACATACATTTGTACATGTACGTTCCTCCTCTCGTTCAGCGCCTATACACCTGATGCTGTCGCTTGGCCGATTTCTATTGTGTGTTTTGCTGCATCTCCCTTCCATCACGAGCAGCAAGCTTGCGTTGCGAAAAATCTCACTGTCTGCAAAAAATTGGCCGTACAGTAGCTACGATGGCGAAACGCCCTCCGGGAAGGAGAGATTTGAGTTTTTACTTGCAACTTGTACATTGTTTCCCATCCGGTGCCAAATAAGAGGACCACACCGTGCGAGATGGACGCACATTTTATTGCGATGCGAGTGCGAGCGTGGTTTAGTTATGTAACCCGAGTTTTTAATAGATGCGTCGTGGTGGCCCTTCTTTCGGGCGAGTTTTGTCGTCATATCGGATTGTTCGATTTGACGCTTCGGAAGTTGAATCATCAAACGGCGATCGTTTCCAATTGAGTTGAAAAATGATTAAAGTTTTGCTGAGTCACAAGAATTTTTTGACGATAAGTCGCGCGGATACTTGCGCCTTTTTTGCGGAACCGCGTGACGAGCGCCAAATGCATTACAGAACCTGTAGATGTCAGTTTTAATGAGAGAATATTTATTATCAAAATGTAGTCGCAATTTTTTTACAAAATTTATTGTGACTCATGAGGTCATATACTTAGAGTTTGAAATCAACTACTACACACACACTATTTGAAGTATACGTAATTTTTAATAAATTAATGAAACTGTAATGAAGTTCGATGAACGCATTGACAAAAAAAATTTTCGTTTTTTTTTTGTCAAATCATATCTTACTCGAAGCATTTAGTATAGAAACGTGTGTCAATACAATATGATAATTTAACGAAAACAGCATGGATATGTACGTTTCGTTAAAAAATTAAAATTGGCAGGTAAAATTTCAAGTCGAAACTTTGAATTGAAAAGTACCATGTGGTCGTCGCCGTCGTGGGTATAAATATAATCACGAATGTGACGTCACTTTTTTAATAACGAAGTCTTCGAGCGTCGGGGCGTCGATTTCTTTCTCGTTTCGGAATTCGGCCTTGTCGATGTTGGACTGCGGACTACCGGTATGTTTCAGCCAATTCTTCCTGGAACGAAGGGATAAAACATTTTTTTTTATCATTTCATAAAAAAAATGAAGAACCTATAGGGTGGCTTACATTTCCTCGACTTTGTCCTTGTCTCCTTCCATGTAACCGAGAACGGTGCCCTGCTTCGTATTCATGCACCATCCCGTCAACCCGAGCTCCTTTGCCTTCTCCTGGGTGTGCTGGAATTCAGAAATCGCAGTCGAAATTTATCACCATCTGATAAAAAACCACCACTATCCGCGTACGGATAAACAAGTTTTGTCGTTCGATGAAGTGAAAGTTACAGAATACTCTGTGCAGAACGTATATGAGGTTTGGACGAGTGGGGCATATCTAAAAACCGCGCGTTTGCACGCGTATACGAGAAAACTAAGATGGAATAACATTATACTACAGAACGCGCTTCACAAAATTAAAAAGTAAAATACTAAGGGAGGCGAAAGTAGAGGCACCAACCAACGAAAGCGTTTTTTTTTTGTTTTTAGTAAACTCTCTATGTTTATCTAAACCTCCTAAACCTCCAAGTGACGCTTTCCGCGAACATAAAAAGATTATTTAAAAAAACCTTCAAGTCCAATACGTATGAATTGTACGTTTATCTCTCTTATATCTGTGCAACCTTGGAAAATGGTAAAAAAATCACACTATTTATTTCATAATATAAAATAAAATAAAATTACTTTTGTAATCATGAAAAGCATCTACAGATTTCCAACTATGTCGCTTGTAATGTGTTAATTTTAATTTACCAAAAAAAACAAACATAGCAATATATATTAACGACACAGATACAGAAAAATGAACATTTCAACTTTTAATTTAAAAACGTATTTAATTTTAAATTTCACCACTTCTTGTAAGTGTAAAAAGAAAGGTTCCTCAATCGGTATCTGCGATGAAAATGTACAATTTTTTCGACAACGGGTAACATAAATTGGTATAAATACAGTTACCAACGTAAAAACGTATCAGTGTTCAATTAACTCAATGGTGCCAAGCTGATGCAAATTCGTCTTTATGTTGGCAACTGTGCGTTTTGACGGTAAACATTGTTTGTGTATACAATTGTATGGAAAACGCCGTATATTGTTTCCACTAACATAACCAAAATGTCCAATACCCGACTATCATTTAAATGCCACTGTGTAATCGATTTTGGAGTTTGTTTCCCTTTTGAAAAATTAAAAAAAATAATAATAACAATCACGACTCACCTTTCTGAAGAAAACACCTGAAATAAAGAAAGCAAAGGCAACCAATCAACTTTGTAGGCACAATTAAATCAAAACAAAACTCACTGAAGAAAAAAAAAAAAAAAACACTTACGCTGAACTCGACCGTAAACTTCGAAATCGAGGGCACGGGTAACGTTGGTAGCCGGCATTTTTTCGGGCTCCGAGATTTGACGTACCAGAATCAGAAAGGCAATGATCAGAGTCGAGTGCACCTCAAACTTCTTCAAATAGTCAATAACAATCATGTGGACAACTTTGTTACACGTTCAATTGTTTTAGGTCGCCAACACACACAACTGAAGCGCAGAGATCATGCATCAAGCATGTCCTTCCATCACTTTACACTGCGCGACTGCACCATGGACTTTATTTTAAAGCTCTCTCCGAAATAAAAGCTACAAAACTAAGTAGGTAATTTCGATTAAAAACTGCTAGAGTAACTATCTTCTCTACTGTTGCTAAAAAATATACTCCATTTTAATCTTTTCAAATTAGCCAATAGATGTCACTGTGGTTTTGTTTTAATAGTTTTGTTTTTAAGCGCAAAATGAAGATATTTTTTGTTACATTGATGATTCTTACAGCCGTAAGTTCAAGTACAGGTGTAATCGAAGTAACTAAATTATTTGTGCAAATTCGGCATTTTTTAATTAAAAGAAAATTTGTTTTTTTCTGTACTTCTATCTTTTAAAAATGTTTACCTCAAAAATCGTTTCGATGCTTTTTCAGTGATATTAAATTGTGGTTGTTTACATTCAATACTAAATACATTTACTCAATTTGAAAAACGGGTCTTGTGGTCAAAGTAAACATTTCGATGCTAAGTATACTGCGAGTTCTAATAGTAACTCCTTAAATTTTGGAGTCGCCTCTCAGCGACACCAGTTGAGAATTGTTTGCTCTAAAAATCTCAAGTAACTATAATAATATGTCATGTCAAAATTAAGAAATTATGTATAGGTGAAAAATCATTAAAGTATATAAAAACAATATTTCTTCGATCTCCGATGACTCCGATATGACGTACAGTGTGTAGCGTGGGAGGGGCGCCACGCGCCAGAGGTCGGCCGACTAAGGAGAGAGAGAGAGAGTGCTACGATACTTATATAGGTATGCCAGAACGAAGGCAAACGTCAGTGTCGGTCAACACGCAGTGCGCACTAGTTCGTCGCGAAGTAGCGTATGAAATTGATAACAACACCATCATAAGCTACACACTGCATGCACAATGTCCTTCATCGTATTACTATATATACCTGTTGTTACCTTCGTCGATTGACAGCTGAGAAATGGATTTATGAACGTGTTGTCGTGACTTTGTTTTTAGTGTCCTTTTCGTAGCCTCCGGATTGGAGGGGATCTACAGAATAATACCTACCAGGTATACACACATCACCCTGCACCTGCAGGTATAGAAAGAAAGTGTAAAATACTGTACCTCCAAGAGTTGTCAAGAGTGTAGATGTAAATAGTCGTGTTGTATTCAGGTACAATACAAAGGAGACGAGAGAGACGCAGTTGGAGAGTGATTGTGTTGTGGGTGCGAGGGGGAGGAGCAAGAGAGTGCACACACGCGAGATAAGAGAGTGTTTTCAGCCTCGATGCACCCATAGTCCACGTAGGTGTCATTGTTAATCAGATAATAAACAAACATACCTATACCACCACAAGCAGCGCAAAACCGAGCGACTGCCAGCAGGGCGTTCGTGGCCGTAGTATGTTCGAGGAGGAAAAGGGCGCCGCCGGCGACAAACGGAGTTGTAGCAGCACCGAGCCCGACGACTCCTCACCGAAGGCTCGACGCCAACATCTCCAGCTGCAGACACGTCCTCGTCAATTGACTCTTTAAACAAACATTACAGCAGCAGAAGGCAGAACTGCGCCCGGCCTCTGTCTGCCTGTCTGACTGCCTCTCTCGCGTTTACTGTCACCCACAGCTCAAGGACCCTCTTGATTGGGCTCATCTGTATCCCGGAGAGGCATAATTGTTGTTCGTGCATCCTACAATACCCATACCTCTCCAAGGAGACACTCAACCTCTTGAGTGTTACTTTTTTTTTTTTCCTCTCGCTCCACAAAATATAGGTTAGAATCGTGCGATAGAGAGACCGTGTACCGCGCTGTACAAATCAAATCAAGTTATTCGCGACTTGAATGTTATCGAGTCCGCTGAGGGGGTGAGTTGTCGTGCCGGTGGCTGACCTTGACGTACTGCTTCGTGTCGCTGGTCGATTCATGCCAGACGGTCCGCGAAGAAGAAGAAGAATAAGCATCATTCACGCGTGACTGCTGGATTTACGTGTGTTATTTATTGCGTGTGTGTACAGTTTGCAGACGACGGGGGAACTCCAAAATTTAATACGTAAACATATAGGACATATACACAGTTTGTACATAATATACACAAGGCAGTCAGGATGACGGCGATGTTGGTCTTCGTCGCGGAGCTCTCCTCCAACATATTCTACGTCCTCGCGGTTCTCGTCGTCTTCTGTCTCATCTTCCTCTTCATTATGAAGTGAGTACAACACAAGTGTATACACACTGATTATGCACCTTGTACCTGTATTATAACATAATATGTACAATAGCAAAATAGTAATTAAATGTGTGCTACATTGGCGAGTGAGCGGTGATTCATTCATTTTCGGAGCACGTTCTCGTAGAGCCAAGCCAAGACACCAAGTGGTATACATATATTATACATTTGATGTTACGATAATCATATGTATATAATGCTCAAGCAAAATTTAATAAGTAGACTTATACATGCACTGACAGCATACTATTATATGCACGACGCGACGACACGATGATGCTGTATTTCGTAATTTCGCGCGATACCAGAAGTAAATAATACTCGTCTACTACCCCATATATNTTTTTTTTTTTTTTTTTTTTTTTTTTTTTTTTTTTTTTTTTTTTTCTTACCGTATACAAGGTGTTGCGTATATTTGTTGAACCGAATCGGTGAAAAAGTTTTGAAATCACGTGAAATCGATACAAAATTCACCGATTCGTTTCAACAATCGGCCATTCGTTGAAAATCCATAGTCCACGGGAAAAAAAAGGCACGGCGCGTGCATTGTACCAGTAAAAAAGCTCGAGCTCGAAGATGCGCTCTCGTCCGTTGATGCAACACGACGGATACAAATACCAACACACGCGCTACAACACATACATTATTTGTATTACCCAACAGCATCGGCTCTATATATACTGTATTTTATCTCCCGCGCTTATACGTTATGTACATCTTTCTCGAACACGTGTATGTAAACTTGTATGTTTTTAACGATTTTTTTTTTTAATTTAACAATTGTTGGATAACGCAGATTTTTTGTTTGTTTTCAAGAGATAACAATAGTACAGTGACGAGGAGAGTTTGAGAAAGAGAGAGGGTTATCGTCGGTTATCCAATATCGCGCGCGATTACGTAATTCGAAGGGGCTTCGTCCTGACCCGGAGACAAAGAGGCCGTAGATCTATAGCCGTTCTCCAATATTGAGTAGACGAATCGTTGTCGGTTAATTGGCTCCAATCGCTCATACATGGTATACCTATATTGGATTGGATTTTTCATCCTTTACCTTTTTTTTTTTTTTCTACTCTGCATGAATAGGAAAAAAAACCTTTTTTTTTTTTAATTTTTATGAGACTGGTTTAGGGGTCACTCACCTCTCTCAACCGATCGGGGCACAATTTTTTAAAATCTTACAGCTATTTTATCCTTATATAATATCGTAGTCGCGAAACAACAGCTCATTAAAATGAACAATTTAATTTTCAAAGACTTAATTATTTTTTCGATTAATTCGATCGTTCAGTCATGTATAACCATTTCCTGTATACGTATCGACTTGCAATGTAAACTACATGATATGCACGAATAGCTAATAATATATTCATGAAAATGTACAAATTGTCATGTCCTTTGCGTGACGCGGCGACATCGGCAAAAAATGCCCTATACACATATACGTATATTTAATCGAGGGAAATTAAAACGTTTTGCAGGAACATGATGGTGCTGCGAGTCCACGGGGACGACTTGATGTTCGGCAGCACGGGGGGCGTGATGGCCCACGCGCCGCGCATACCGCAGATGAAAATGATGAAGGTCCACATACCCTTCACCTTCAAACTACACGAGAGCTTCAAAAGTACCTATGCTGGTGAGTCATTCGTCTTGAAGTGAATTTTTGTTTTTGTTTTCCATATGTGTGTAAGTACGACGTCCGAGTCAGCTTGGGATCTCGTTGATTTCGATTATTTCGAATCAGCAGTTGAACCGCATTGCGTCAACATGGCAATTTTTTGGTTCTCGCGCAAAAACTTTTCTAGATTTAGGACATTTATTCATTGAATAAGTCAATTTTTTTTGTTAGTATTATAGAAATTTTCAACATTTTGATGATCAAACAGCGACGTTGAAAATATTATGAAAAATCGTATCAAAAGAAATTTGCTCCAACAGTTACATTCATGATCTTCGAAATTTTATGCATTATCACAATTATCAGAGCACGTTTTGTGCTATTTTAAAAAATTTTCTCATATAACTAGAAATATAATAAAAAGGACTATTTCATGTTAGTACTTGATGTCTATTAAAAACTTTCTCTGCAACGGTGCAGGCACGAATCGCGTGAGCACGTCTATACGGGCGTGCTTGCAGGTCCATCGTATATATAATATCGTATACTTAATATATATTGTCAGTGCATTTTAACGGTATAACGTATATCATACACGTGGCCGTATAACTAGGTCGGGTCGGCCAACAATCACAATAAAAAAACCTGCATTACTAATGGCATTTATTTGGGATACTCGTTTAATTTTGTTCATAAAGTACACGAAAAAAAAAAAAAAAAAATGTATCAGCTAGAAAATCTTACTTACCCTCGATTTATACTCTTTAGTTACACTGATCATATTTTCTTTTTATCAAGTTTATAATTGAGAAGGCATATATCGATATGGTTTATGGGAATAAAACCCAAGGAAAATCGCAACCATTTTCGTGTTTACTTTAAAACGTGATATTGTGGTGTATCAACAACTTACTACTCACCACTTTTATATACATACCTCCAAATACAAAGTCGAAAAGTGGCCTTTAAATTAACAGTCCGAGCTTTTATAATTTGCAACGCTATTCGGCAACGCCATTAACATACCCGAAGCAGCGTATTTTGCAAAACGACTGCACAAAGAGTTGAAAAGAGAGTTTTTAAACTCGAGAAAAAAAAAGCATAATTTACTGATTCAGGAATAAGAGAGGGGACATGGGATGGCATAACGTTTGGTGGTATAGCATTTTTGAGGCACACTCTCAGTAACAGTACACCGCGCCTAATATAAATATATGCATGTACAAGTACACTACATGTGCTTCATGTACGTAAATAAGTATACTGTGCGCATACACGATGCCCCGAAGTTCATCGGCTCAATGATCACATGCGAGATCCCGGAGTTTGCGCAAGCCATTAACAACCGCAGTACTCGCGCTATTACACCGCTGAGCCGCACTGTGTATGTGTAAACGCGTGCACGTATACGTTACCTTTCGAGTTAACGCGCGATATGTAGATTTCGACACTTTTCACGAGTCTTAGGTAAAAAAAGCCTGACCGTCTCCCTCTTTCTCCACAGATATCTGCCTCTTTTCGGCTTGAATTGCACTTCTTCTCCTCACAATATCTTTTTTTTTTTTTTTTTTTTTCCTTTACGAAAAATCTATACATTATTCGCAACTCCATTGGATTTCACCGTTACGTCGATTCATAAATTTACACGGATCATGACTTAAGTTTTTTACTTGATTACCACAAGCGACAACTTGCACGAGATCAAGACTGAAGCCATTGGACAAAGCAATAAGTACCAGAAGGTTTTTTTTTTTTTTTATATATAACTAGTAAAAAATATTACTATCGTAATATTTAATATATAAAAAATATACCACTAAATAAAACAAAAAATCGTTTTTTTTTAAAACTACAACTTTTGCCTTTATCACTTGGTTTCGAACGTCGATTACTTACCGAACTTTTTTTTACCTTACGGAGGATAGGTATTTGTATGACATCCTATACAATGAACCGCATACACGCGTATCCTTGCAAGTAATTAAAACTTTAGCATTGATTTATTTCCCGCGTCAAAGTGACAATTTCTCTCTTTTTCACAAATTTTGTTTTTAACTATTTTGATTAATATTTTTGTCCGATCTGAAGTATTCAATTGATGGTTTAAAAACCATTGTACAACAACTCAAACATTATCATCGTAAATTAATCGATCGATCAACCATTGAAAATAGCCTCGACCAATGAAAGAAGAAGCGCGTTTGACCCGCCGGCCTACGCGTGGTCAAGGTGAGCCGAGTTTCGCAACGTTTCTCCGTTAACACTACGGGCATACTAATCGCGTTATCTCCCACGCGGCAAGCATATAATATACACGGCGTGCGAACCTCGACAAATCACCAGTCGAACTGTATTAGAGGTTAACAAGTGCATACTTTAATTGTATTTGTACGATTGTTGAGTTTTTTTTTTTTTTTTTTTTTTTTTTTTTTTTTTTTTTTTTTTTTTTCCCCCCCCCCACAGACTAACGTGAGTGCACCGCCTCGGTATTCAAGCACACCAAGTTCATGTAGCTTTAAGACATAGAATTACACGAAAAATAAGAGTTGGGCGCGTAGGAGAGTTAAATAATAGCCTCCCTTCATCGGTCGATCATTTCAAGCCAATGATCAATCCCAACACCTCTCACTCGTCACCTCCGATGGATCTTTCAATATTGGGAAAGTTACGGAGCGCGCCGGCCTGACCTTGTCCAGCCGTTGGCTGATACGGTGAAATAATCTTCTCGTTCTCGTTTCTTTTTTTTTTTCTTTTTTTTTTTTTTTTTTCTTCTCGAGGTCCAGTGCCGTCAAATTTCGAAACCTCGTGCACGCAAAAATGGACACGCGACGCGGCGACGGGTTCTAATCGGCACCGCACACATTTTCAAACTAGTTTGGTCGCGGGGAGGGTCCAAACGTATATAGCTTTTCGCCAATCAGCGAACGGGATAATTTTACACGCGCGCCAGCGTGGGTCTTGCGCAAAAAATATATATATATATATATAGGTTTTTTCGACGGACATTTCGACGTGACCTAACGTAGATCACACGAAACTGGACGACCATGGTTTCGTTTCGTAGCACAGGTAGCACTCGTGTCTCGTTTCTCTTGCTCACCTCTCTTTTATTTTCTTTTTTTCATTTTTTTTTCTTTTCATGGTTCAGCAGGCAAATCCACGCAAGCACGCTTGTTTGTCGAATTGCACACGATATTTTTTTTTTTTTTTTTTTTCCTTGCATATATAAAAACACGAGAGACGGTTAAAAAGGGTATCGTGTAAATTGCCAGTGGTGGATTGATTTACGCCGAGTTATGCGTTTAATTGCGAACACATTGACACAGGCGTGTTGTACGCGGTGTAGATATACGGATATACCCATTTTGTAATTCCGATTTCTTTCGGAGCGACGGAGCTTGGCCATTGAAATTTACGAGAATTTTCATTGACGATAAACAGCAGGTATATACGAGCTCGACACTGCACGAGCTGTTTTCTCGTCATTTGTTTATTGAGTAGGTAATTACAAGCGACAATAAATTGACTCGTTTTCATATTAAAAGCCAATTCGCAATTAAGTATGCCATTCGTAAGCTTCAATTTACACATTAAAAGTCGATTGTGTTCTTTAGTATGACTGGAAAATTCAGAATTATCCCAAAGAAATTTTATTTTCATTAAGATTTCCATGAGCATTTAAAAATTGTTTATGAAACATATTATGCTTAGTGATATCAATTACACCAAGTTTCAAAAAATTTTGGCAATTTAGTCTAGTGGAATTCTCCAAGTTTTTTTCCCGTAGAAATCGATTTTTCGATACGAAAAATGGTTGATTAAAAGAACACGGTTTGGGCCTTGCTCTCGGCATGTACCTTTACTGCGGCTAAATGAAAAAAGGGAAATTCCGTATACGCCTTCTCTCGCACTAAAGGTATTCCCGTTACGTTTCCGAAGCAAACAATATATTCCATTGCGGCACACTGCGTGGCTCTTATAAGACGTCATAGTTCCCTCACTATTTTTTCACATCGTGAAAGAAAAAAAAAAAAAAAAAAAATGGCGCAACGCAAAAACAAGAGGTGAAAGAGCACATTTCTGCGGCGAGGAGAGCAATGGATGGTGGGGCAGAGGGGTGCAGATGGGAAAGCGAAAAAAAACTGAATCGCAACGAAATCTTTGTCGACAAAAGCCAGGGGCAATTTCTTTTTCTGCTCCACTTTGAAAATGGTGTTGAGCGACGATACAAAGTAAGAAAACACCAGGAGCATACCATGTTATCTTTCATCGACAATCGAATAAAATGGAATTGGAAAAATAACGAGTGGAAATGAGGGTTCGCAGGTTTGAAGCTGTAAAGAAAAGTGGAAAAAGCAGACTTGGAGGAAAAATACGTATTCGATCCATATTCGCTCTTCCCTTATCCGAAATGTTGATATTATTTGTTCTGATGAAAACGTAAAACCTACACAGCATATATATATATATATGCATGATTATATATAATAGACTAAAACATAGAGAGAACGAAGATGAAAATTGTCTGCCAAAAAAAAAAAAAAAAATATATATTTTCTCCAATTATAAGGAACTACAAACTGAATTTTTCCGATGTATATGCTAACACAGTGGGACAGTCATATGACATTGATGCCCCAAATGCACTCAATTCACACAAACAATTTTATAGCAATTGGACAAGTAGAGGCGTGCGCGTTGACTGTCCATGCGGGGTTCACTTGACATTCGCACGTAGCTCCGATGTTGACGTGACTTCATTAAACAATGATTCACGGTCTCGGGTACATATTATGTATATACATACAACAATAGTATGTATGACTTTAGTCGGTATATACGTATTTGCGTATACATATAGAGCTACATCTCAAAGCATCAGATACTTAATAAACGCACATTCGCCCGCATCGGTAAAAATCTATAAGTACACGAGAGCTATGAGCCTTCATACACACACGAGGGCTGCTTTTTTTTAATTAAATTTATGAAAACAATTGATTCTGCTTTTAAAACTC